ATTAATAATTATTTAATATTAGTACAATACAGCCATTAAGATAATTATTTAATACTAGTAATAATAAAAATCTAATATTTTTAGCTGACATGATGTAGATTTTATTTAATGAATAAGTTACGCAGTTGCTATATAACAAAACACGTGTCGATAGGGTGCTGTGGGGTGAGACGCGCGGGGGGATCGTGTCGCGGGATGTGCGAATGGCCGTTATCGACTGGGACACTGCAATGATTGTTTATCCAGTCCGTTCCTTGAATTGCAACTAATGACTCATATATTTTATAATAGCCTACTCCCATAATAATGTAATGTTAAGTACAATAATGCATACAAAACATAAAAGTAAACTAAATACCCACATTCATTACAATAAAATTATATTATAGTATAGATTGTTGAATGAATCGTCATGGTGTAATCAGTGGTTCATTGCACTTGTAACATTCGTTTTATCCTGCTTTACACAAACAAAAATGTACATGAATATATGTATCTATATCTATATAATAATTAACATTGGTCTTGCCAAAAATATCTAGTAATATTCGGCAACATTTAGACGATTGATTTAAAAAACTAACCATCTATTCATTTCTTCCAACTTACATGTAAATCATCATCTTTCAATTGATGCCATGATCACTGTGATATTTAAAAAATCTCCATATCTACTGAACTTAATTATTATAAGCCCAGTTATAGCTACTGAATTAATAACACAAAACTAATTAAGGGTTAAGTAGGTATTGTATCATGATCATATAATTTTATACAAAGAGACTTATATAAAAACTTTTATATCTCACAATAGGAAAGTATATTCCTATGGTGACTAGGATAAAAATTTTCCAATTAAATTTTCACTCATGTCACATTCACGTTTTTTTACTTCTGTACGTGCACTACAACGTTCCTGAAAGAAAGCGGGCCTATACGGATCTGCCTATTTTGCCTAATGGTTAATTCGACCCTAGGTATAGGTACTTATAATCTATCTATCGTGGAGCTTAGTTTTTTTACATTTTTTTATATTACATAATGGTGGTTAACAAAATATCGGATGGTAAGCGGTGTCCGTAACATATGGACGCCTGAAACAACAGGGGTGTCACGTGAGCGTTGCAGACATACATATTTATTCCAGATAGCGTGGTTATGAAATAAAGTAAACGACATTCCGTTAATCACATATATAAACAATATCTACAGAACACGTTTTCTTTTTGCAATGAGTTTATTTAGCCTGCATATTGCATTAATAAAACTGTTGCAAGTCAAACGTACAGAACACAAATGTACAGGGAATTTCAATTGAACTGAAATCTAAATGAATATTTGATAATATAAAAACTGAAACAGTATTGTTATATTTCTGTAATGTGTGGCGAGGCGGACGTTTAGGATGGCACGCTATGCGCAGTGATGCGTCGCGGTTGACGGCGCGGCGACGGTGCGGATGAATCGCGCATTACCCAGAAACATCCGTCCGTCCATTCTAAGCAGGGATGCCAACGGATCCTCGTACAAATAGATTTTTTTGAAATGAAATTTAATTTACTTTTGGTACGAGGATATTTGCGTCTTTGTACAAGTTTGTATGAGATTTTGATCTGTGAAAATCGGTATAAAAACAATAATATACAAAGATGGAGAACCAAAGTACGAAAACCGTACGAAGCTAAATGTTTTAAAGTGGCAATCCTGATTCAGAGCGAGTTTGGCTCGATGGCCATAAATCAGACTCACAAAAACTGTATCTTGGCCGTTTTGATTTATTTACAATCGACAAAGAATATGTAGATTATATTTTTGTATGCGTTTATCTCCGTCGATTCCTATTTTAATGATTATATACCCAGTATGGTATGAACTCATTTTACCCCTACTAAAAGTCTATTTTTCATAGAATGAATTGTAAAATGCTGTACATACTGTGTTATAAGAATACGACATTATGTTTGTAGGTATATCTATATATATTTTAACGCAACAACTTTTACGTGTATAAAATTTATTTGACTACAGACGAAATAACTTTCTATAAATTATTTAATACTTCACAATATAACTTTAATTGGGGCAAATCTAACGTTGGCGTCATTTGCTTAAAATGTTTCCAAAGTGTTTAAAATTTATTATATTACAGATAATGAGCAATTTTTACTTCTGTAATAAATCCATATGGAATATTACTTCACTAATGTCTAAATATAGGTCATCGTTGGTCTGTAATAAACGGATTTAAGATAACATTAACAGATGTTTCAGTGATATAACTTCCGTTTTAATGATCACACCAAACTGACTCATTGCCATTAATTGAAGTCTGTTACAAATAAAATACATATATAACACAAATTTATATTAAAGTGTAAATACAATATAATTACTTAGGTATATTTCACTATTGGTAAACATATTATTTGGCAGAGGATAATTACAATATTTTTTATATTACATTTGTAATGTTAGAGACACCGTTAATGATAAAACAAATTACATCGAACATAAAACACATTGTAATAATATAATAAATAACCCAGAACACGGTGTCATCTAATCCGTAATTATTTAAAGCAAACCGAGCTCGTGCTATGGACTTACTAGGCAAAAAAAAATTAATATGCATTTTTTTGTAAATAATGCACATAGTAAAACACACATAAATATAATCAGATATATTCAATATAAAAAATAACCTACCGTCGCGGCGTCGGGTGTTAGGCGATCTATAATAGGTACATATTATATATATCATACATGTCGACATTTCGATGTTATTATAAACATTAGAAGCAATCTCTGCCTGCAGATATATACCCAATATTATTTTCATTGCAATTTTTTTAAGATAATAATTTTCGTTTGGGGCCTATGTGGAGAAAATGAGACAAAGTATATATTTTGAAGGCAAAGTATATATGTATGTTAAACGTGGAATATGGCCAATTAAAACTAATTTGTTTACTTTATATTAATCTAAGTAGGAATCTTATAAAGATTTAGGCAAAGTACCTACTTGGGAAAAATCCTCATACCCATGTACACGGTAAATATAAACACGGTAGTATTTAGTCTTAATTGTGTCTTCTACGCATATAAAAACGGTACTTACAAATGTTATGGTATAGTAGAAAGGATTTTCTATGTCATAGTGAAAAAACTACAAGTTTAAAGTAGTATATTTACTACATTTTGGTTTTACTGACTACCTCTTTTATTATCCTACATGAAGGGACTGATAAAATTATTTAGATTGATAAAAATAATTATTACGATTTTTAATAATAAATGTTCCACTATGAGTACTTTCATAAAAATATAACATTATATACATTGAAATCATTATTATTACATTGGATAAAACTAAGTCGCCGTCGCTGTCTGTCCGTCCCTATGTTTGCTGAAATTTTTAAAACTACGCAACAGATTTTGAAATGCTTTTTTTAATAGATAGAGTGATTCTAGAGGAAGTTTTATATATATAATAATAATACATGTACACCCGTGCAAGCCGGGGCGAGTAGCTAGTAAACTAATATACTGGCGTATTATGAATGGAACAGAAACTGTAAAAATAATAGGCTATTTGCTCTTCAGAATGATATCTTATTATATCCGAAGAAAGAGCGAGCTGTTAATTATTAATAAGATAACTACGATAGAATGATTTTCACTTATTTTAAAGTGTTATTTATATATTGTTTCCATTATATAAAATCTTTAATAAAGCATCTAAACTTATTAATATATAATTCAAAACTGTCCCATATAATATAGCTACGCGACACAGTAATTTTATTAGCACTATTCCAATGTGTGGTCATGCAAATTTAGATATGTTGTCATGTTAACTGCAAAATGATACGTTTGAAATGGCGTCTTAATAAACGGAGACGGTTTCATATTACCTACTCCTATAATTCCACGTATACAATAGGTACCTACTACAATTACGAATCATTTTGCAAGTTTGCATTCATTTAATTTGCAAATTAAGAAAAGGACCTACTGAGAATGTTAAATGAACAAGATACTTATTTATACTTATTTCTCATAGATTATATAAAAGTAACTGTTTAAACAATATAAAATATTAGCTGAGTAACGTATAGGTTTAGCGAACTAAAGAATACTTTTGTGATCTTATTCATGAGTACTGTGGCGTGATTTTCTATTCCAATGAGGGTTGTCGAAAAAACTTTGGCTCCTACCTACATTGAGTCTATTCGAATAAGCTAAAGTAGATTTTACATGAAGTCGTATTCGTATGCATCCACTTGGGTATACTCATGTGGTCTCTTTAGTTACCTACAATCTATTAGTGTAATAATGATGCAACACATGCTGACATCATACTTATAAAGTAATCATAACAATATCAGCTGCAAAATTAATTATACTGTAAAAATATACCGCGAGTCAGGAGTAGGTACCTATCTGTATATAATTTTGTAATAAAAAAGAGACGGATGGATCTTTATAAGTATTTAATGGTTACATATTTAGGTACATATAATTATTTAATATTTAGAATAATAACCAGTTCATAATTATTTGCTATTTTTATATTAGGGTTATGTATATTTAAAGGTCAATTTTAGAAAGTGAGGAAATTAATGAATTTACCTAATAATAGAAATGAAAACTTACCTAAAGTATGTATTTTTTTTAAATCGAATTATTTAATAAGAATTCATAAAAGGACAAGAGTCGATTTTCATTACCTATATTTTTTGTGTATGTTCTCTCATATTGTTATAAATAATGGACCAATTTTTTTTTGTTTGTTTGGAAGTCTAATCTCTTCACGTAGTCCCATTTTCACGAACTCATGATCGAATGATGTAAACCCGAAGTATTTGAGGATTTTCCTCAATTATCTAATATTGTTTGAGCTTTCTAGTTACCTTATTCAGGTACTAATTATATAGAAATAGTCATGCTCCATTATGAGGTAGGGCAATGAACGATATTACACTTATTCAACTGTAGTTATGTCACAAGTAGACGATAAGGCACGTTCCTCTTGCATAATATTAATGTTCTTAATTTTAAAAAAATATATACCTGTTATAGGCTATTAAAACACCAATGAACAAAACAATCTATATTTTCATAATAAATTAAGATCCGTCCAATTGTTTAGTTGAGATTATTGTTTCACCGCAAACAGACAATACCTACACATATAATTGTAGCAATAATTATTGAAGTTAATAATTACAAAAGTTATTAGTACAATTGTATAATATATAAGTAATAATTATTGAAATTAATTATTACATAGATCCGGCAATTGCGTCTCTTATTAATATTATAATAATAAAACATAAAAGTATTTAAAGGACTTTGTTCAAATTTTGCCAGTACTTAATTTTGTTATTCAAGTGCATTTAATAAACGCTAATTTAGCTTATAAGTGCTCCTTTTTCAAAAATGTCCTAATAAAGCTAAAGCATAATAATTTTGTACAATGGTTTTCTTATTGTTCTAGTTATGTTTATGTCCATTATTTCATACTCAGGTGGTGTGCAATGAAACAGTATGCGACTGCGGAGGCATAAAAGGTAACCCTGGAGACCCTGGGCCACCAGGCTTTCCTGGTTTACCTGGGGAATATGGCGATGATGGCCAAGAAGGCCGTATGGGCAGAGCAGGTGAAATCGGCAGTGAGGGTGATATTGGAGATTATGGCGATAAAGGAGAGAGGGTAATAAAAACCATATTTGCATTAAAGATAAAAGTTAAATGTCCTACTGTGTTTTATCCCGGTCAATTAAATTTAATACGGAGGACAAAGCATTAACATATGTATATGTAGTTGCATCAACCTATCTAAAGAATCAGTAAGCGTATTTTAGTTTAATTTACTTTCACCATAATAAACAAATACTTATTTTCAGGGTTTAGATGGACACTATGGACCTAGAGGTTTTCCTGGCGTTCAGGTAGATATGCATTAAAATCATATCATTTAGCTATGAACAAATGCGTTTTACATTCAATTTTGTAAAATATTTTTACAGGGCCCACAAGGATTACAAGGTATTTCGGGAACCATGGGTTTAGATGGCTGCAGTGGTATTGATGGTGTGATGGGTCCACCGGGACCAGTCGGTAGGCCTGGTAAAAGAGGACTACCTGGTTCATACGGAGATAAAGGGTTTAAAGGATTCCCAGGTGATGGAGGATCCAATTCCAATGGAGTGGCTGGTCAACCAGGAACACCCGGTCGCTATGGAGAATCTGGACGTAGAGGACAGATTGGCTATAGAGGATACAGTGGAGAACGAGGTGAAGATGGTGATATGGTAATAATTTCTTCTTCTACACCACAGCACCAAGAGTAGGTTAAGTACTTTACATAATCATGACCTTACCCTTACCACTACGTCTGTTCTGGTACTTATAACTATTTATTTATATCCTTATCATTGTGGAAACAATGATAAGGATATAAATAAAAAAATATATTTGCGCCATAGTATAAATTTTTTAATACATACGAGTTTTTTGTGGTGTAGGAAACATAGTATTAAACCTTTTCTTAAAAATTTTAAAATTAGGATCCTTTCATTTATGTATATTTTTTATTAGTATCTGATACAATAATGAATATACCTTTATTATTCTATCAGCCCCTGATAATAATAAAATCATATCTAGTGACCTCACGACACTGAACACTTCAACAAAACTAATAATAATATAAAACAATTGAATATATTTAAATTAATGAAATGGCTGATGGACAATTTTTTTACGATATCAATGATTATCAATGATTTATTAATGCAAAACGCTGCTACATCATGACATTTAACTTTCATTTTATTAACATCTTAATATTTAAACTATAAATAATCGATAACTGTTAAAAAAATGTTTGCATACCATTCTATAGCTAAACATATTGGATAGAATAATTGAAAAAAGTAATAAAAATATTTTAACAATGTTTCCAGAAAATAAATTTCATGTTCAGTCATGTAAGTTTTATTTGGACAGGAAAGAAAATATCTTTTCGTTTAACAGTAAAATAATTAAATATAAGATGGGAGTATATTATATATATTAACTAACTAGTTGTAGCAAACAATCTCATTTTAGTTTCGAAAGATTGGTACATATGATATCCAACCTATGTTTTATTTATTCTTTGTGTAATATTCTTTTTACTTATGCTTGATGGTTATGGATAAGAAATATGTGAGATAAAATAATTTATGTGTATAATATTTAACAGAATTCTAACCCAGGATATAGGCAGCCAACCAATGTACGATTAACAAATATACCTACATATTTATGTAATCTATAAAAATTGTCATTATGAAATAATTGATAAGGATATGTACATATATTTCTTATGGCATACATTAGACCATTACTTGAAATCTCAATATATGTGACAGTCTCAGTATATTAACTACACTATTTGTGATTATATATATAATACATGAAAATAGCTTAATTTTATGTATTGTCTTTACTACTTAAAATAATATCCTTTAAATTACTCAACGGAATTTAATGCAGCTTTCAACAACAGATAGAGTGATTCAAAATGAAGGTTTACATATATAGTATACAACAAACCGAGAAATTCAAAATTTTGTAATGCACCCATGCAAATATTAATTATATACATAGTACATTAACAAATGTCGATATAGGAAAATGTAGAGGTCGCTGATTATATACAGTAATATATATAATACTTATTTTATATTTTAGGGTATAATAGGGTATCGAGGCGAAGCGGGGTATGAAGGAGACATTGGCGATGATAATATTGGATCGCCGGGACAAAAAGGAGAGCGTGGACTACCAGGCGAACCGGGTAGAAAAACCGAAATTATTTTACCAGTTATTAATAATTCGACTTTATTTACAAAAGGAGGGAAGGGGGCAATGGGTTACAAGGGTGACGGAGGTGATAAAGGTGATAAGGGAAGACAGGGCTCATTTGGTCAACCGGTACGTCAATTAATGTATTAAGAATCGTCGTCTTCATCTAATAAGAAAGATTTCTCTCCACTGTTGCAATTATTTATTATTATCTCTTTATGAAGTTTTAATTGTTGTGCACAATGTTTAGTTATACATGCTACTCTAACTAACAAAATAGCCAAAATATATGACATACGAGGTTAGCCAGCCAATTTGCGCCATTTTACGTAATGTTTTACTTTATGTAAAATAGCGCAAATGGGCTGGCTGGCTAGCTTTATACATTGTAAAATAAAAAGTTCTAACGCTAGCTTTATATAGTTCAAATTTGCGGTATCTTCATTATGTAGTGGTATCTTCATTCATATTATGTGTGTTTGAATATTCTCCAATTAGTTTAGGCTAAATTTTTGGTACGATTGTAGTTTTTATGTAACGTACTATAATCATATAGGTAAAAATTAACATAGCATTTTCTTTCTATAAGGGTGCACCTGGTTATGATGGAATAGACGGCATTAAAGGAGATCAAGGCGAGCAAGGACCTAGAGGAAAACCTGGCCACAGAGGTCAATATGGTCCCCCAGGACCAAAAGGAGCTAAAGGAGCCCCAGGTTATGCTGGTCTGGACGGTGATGATGGTATTCCAGGGAGACCTGGTCCGGATGGATATTCAGGCAATCCAGGACCTCAAGGATTTCCAGGAGCTCCGGGAAAATATGATCCAACAATATATGTTGAGCCAATAATAGGAGCTGTAGGACCACAGGGACCTCAAGGACCAATAGGGGAAAAAGGAACACCCGGTTATGATGGAACTGTTGGACCTCCAGGCATTGTAGGGGCACCTGGATCACCTGGAATAACAGGCATGCCAGGAAAAATAGGAAAACCTGGTATTTCACCAAAAGGTGAACCAGGGAATGATGGGTACAAAGGAGAACCTGGACTACGTGGTCCTACAGGTTACCCTGGACCTCGGGGTAAGATAGGTGCAAGAGGTTTGCCAGGTTATAACGTACATGGTCCAAAGGGAGATGAAGGTGAACGCGGTAACAACGGTTTTCGTGGAATACATGGTGAACGTGGTAGTCAAGGATTGATGGGTTTACCTGGAATTCCAGGAATAGGAGTGAATATTACAGGTCCACAGGGAGATCCTGGTAGACCAGGATCACCTGGAATTATCGGTTATCCCGGAGAACCTGGTATCCCTGGCTTCGATGGAGTTAAGGGATCCCGCGGCGATGACTGCCCATACTGTCCATCAGGTAATCTGTATGTTATTACGTGGAACAAAAACTTTGTACCGCTTTTAACGGAATTTTGCACCTATGAAGAGGTACAAAATTTCGCGCATTTGTAGTTTATATACAGAAGGAGTGCAGAATGCTAATATATTTTTTAAATTATGCATAACAGGGTAGTGGATTAATGTTACATACATTAATCAGTAAAAATAGAGACACACACGCATATATACACTTTTGTTTAATTGTTATTACTGGTTCAAAAATCTTCTTATATTTTGTACTAGCTGTTGCCTGCGACTTCGTCTGTGTTTCCGTCGTTTTTTGTAAAATAAGTAGCCCATGTCCTTCCTCACAGTTCTGTGGTTTTGATGTGTTCTCCTAACATTTTCCTTCACTGCTCTGCTTCTATTGATCGTAACGTGATGAAAAGTATACTATAACCTGCCCAAGAGTATGAAGAATAATTGTACCAAGTTTCGTTAAAATCCGTCAAGTAGTTTTTGTTTCTATAACGAACATACGGACAGACAGACAAATATTTTACTGATTGCATTTTTGGCATCAGTATCGATCATTAATCACCCCCTGATAGTTATTTTGGAAATATATTTCATCTACAGAATTGACCTCTCTACACATTTATTATAAGTATAGATTATGGGCGAATTCGAGCATTCGACCCCTAGTATTTTTTAAAAGATGCTGTTTTTTAAGTCTTATATTTTATATACATATACATATATTTTTTCTTTTATGTTTTTCTAATAAAATATTAATTTGTTTGAAATCTGAATGAAATAAAAAATATTAATGATTCAGATTTCAAACAAATTAATATTTTATATTCTATATATATATAATAATTTTAATCATTTCTATAACATTATTAGCCGTTCGCCCCGGCTATACTTACTAATAGAATAATTTATATATTCCTATATAAAAGATGTCCCCGAAGACTTTTGAAATGAAAACATTTTTATAAAAATAAAACTATGTACAGTTAGATTTTTTTTTTTTTTAATGCGTGCTATATATTCTACACAAAAGGGCAATTATTTTATACAAATTATTTCATCCAAATGTGCTCCATTTCGTTCTTGGCATACTTAACTACAATTTTCGTTCTAAACGGTCCCTAAAATTTTCCATCACGGCTCGGCAAGTAAGCTCTGTAATGCTGGACATTTCTCGTCGGATATTTTCTTTAAGTTCATCAATTGACCGCGGGTTTGTTTTGTTTAGACTTTATCCTTAAGATAACCCCATAAGAAAAAGTCGATTGGACTCAAATCCGAACTTTGTGGTAGCCAAGGAATTTCTCCTTTTCCAGATATCACTTTGTTAGGGAAAAGTTAATGGATGATGGGCATAGCGGTGTTAGAGCTATGGGCAGCGCAACTGCCTCCTGTTGAAACCAAGTCCGAGAATGGAGCCTGGAAAATTCAGCTACTCTGGTATAAAAAATCCTTGATCATAGGCACATACTGGTCCGAAGAGACAGTAACTGCATAACCATGTTCGTTTTCAAAAAGTATGGGTCTATGATGCCATACGATAACATAGCCGCCTAAACTGTGAATTTAGGACTATGTAAGTATGTATGTATGTGTGTAGTATGTATGCCTTTGATATTTGCGTTGTGGGTTTCTGCTACTCCAGAAACGGCAACTCATCAGATTTTATATGGGTGAAATTTGTTATCTTATTTTGAAATCCACTGTAACGTTGATTTTCGTATGTTTAACGCTCTGGAATACTTACGAATAGACTGGGTAGGATTTTCACAAACTGACGTCGATATCTTCTTATGACCGTGACGTCCTTGGTTGGCCTGATCGTTATTTATCCAAACCAGTCTTCTCGACTTTTGTGAACTCAGTTCTTAGGCATCCGAAAACTAGGATACTCATTAAACCTGTATAATTTGCGATGTTCTTGAAATTTACGCTGCGCATCGGTGGGAGAATGTTTGTTTTCTATAGACTAGGATCACACCATGAACATTGACACCATTGAACATTTAATTGAGTTGCTTAAACGATATTCTATTCTAAAACATGAGTTTAGCTGTATATAGGGATCGTACTGTGCAAAATATAGTATAGTGCAGAAGCTAGTATATAAAATTTCATACTTCTTATTTTAAAAATGACGGGTTTCTATATAACGGTATATATATAAAATAACTAGTACATTTACAACTAAGTAAGAAATACGTGCTTAGTTGTAAATGTACTAACATCGATATCTTCTGTCATATCGCACCCCTAGTATGTACAATACTGGATTAATTCAAAAATTATAAACTTTGGAAAAACCTCTCCAGAGTTTAAAGTCTGATTTCAAAAAATTAAAGCCGGTATTTAATTATTTATTTAGGAGCACCAACAATTGTAACAATTATATCATTTATTTATTTACATGTAGGTTGCGATCTAAATGTAAAATTATTTAAAGGCGAACTCGGCATGCAAAATACCATACAAAACTTATATAAGAAAAATCTTAAATTAACTGTTCTTTTATTATGATTGTCGGAATTAATTTATTTTTTAAGCCAGATGGCGCTACCGATTTTCTACAACCCGCTATGTTTCAATTTCTGTTTTACTGTAATCTAAAATCATGTTATTTAGCAATAAATAATTCTTCAATACAGTTTCCAATCGTTAGGTGATGTTTCAATTTATAATTCGTAAAATAGTAGATAATTAGGTAAACATGCCGATTATTTATTTATTAGATACTGTGTATGTGTGCGTGCGTGTGTTTTTGTTTTTTAGTTTGCGATATTATATAAGTACTTATTTCAAATCCGAACTAGAATAAGCATATTGTGATCCTAACTACTAGACTAACATTTTTTAGATATTCTTATTATTAAAGAAAATTATTTTTAGGATTACCTGGGGCGAAAGGTGTTAAAGGTGAAGATGGAGTTATAGGGCAAAAGGGATACCCTGGTTATATTGGTTTACCGGGACCCCGGGGATATAAAGGCCTCGCTGGAACAGCCGGAACACCAGGATATAAAGGAGTAAAGGGAATAAAAGGATTACAAGGTGAAACAGGACCAGAAGGAGCAAAAGGAAGGGATGGGAAGCTTAAAATGCCACCGCTTTCACAGATATATAAAGATAAGGGAGCGCCGGGAGATATGGGTATGTCTGGTATCGCAACTAATAGTACAATACAACACAGCAACATTTATTATTACCTACATTATATATATATATATATATATATATATATATATATATATATATATATATAAACCTTCCTCTAACTATTAAAAAAACCGGCTTCATAATCCGTTGCGTAGTTTTAAAGATTTAAGCATACATAGGGACAGACAGCGGCAGCGACTTTGTTTTATACTATGTAATGAAGCCGGTAGACATAATCCTTACTTCCTTACTAATATTATAAATGCGAAAGTAACTCTGTCTGTCTGTCTGTCTGTCTCGCTTTCACGCCAAAACTACTGAACCGATTTAAATGAAATTTGGTACGCAAATAGTCTATACGCCGAGGAAGGACATAGGCTACTTTTTAATGCGAAAAAAGGGTTGTAAGGGGTTGAAAATGGAAATACAAGGTTATCTTTATGCGGTTTAATACACACATAGTATAATACTGGCTTAACTAAAAAATTAGAAATTTTGGAAAGTCTACTTTATAACTGTGGTATTAAGTCTAACTTTAAAAATTTTTAATTTCTGAATTACACCAATATTGTACTAGATATGCGACATAAATAAACATATATGTCATTTGTATAAGCAGCGCGCATGCGAAGTTGCGCGAGCAACTGATTATTGTCAATCCGTTGTCTCCTTATGAATTTAAATGTATAATCGTTTGCTCTGCAATATTATTTTATAAATACATAAATATAATCCTGGTACGGGCTATAACTGATGACCCTGCTCTTGGACAAGATCGTAATCACATATTATTAATATTTTTGAAGATTAAAACAACATATAATATTAAGAATGAAGTTGTCTATACATATGAACAACATTTCCTTGGAAGAAACAACATCTACCGTTCCATCCGAGCTATTCAGGGTCGGAATACGCGTTTCTCCCTTCTGGCCAGTAGAGTCAAAGTATGGTTTGCGCAAGTAGAGGGATGTTTGCAATTTAGAATATCACATCTATTATTTTGATTTAACAAATTTTTATTATGTTATTGGCCAACTGGACCACCAATTTACAAAAGAAGTTAAAGAAATTTTTAGACTATACATTAAATATAAATAAATATGACATTTAAATTTGTAAAAATGTCACCATTCAAGGGGTAAAGTAAAATAGCAGATAATAGTTTTTATGGAAATTCGTCATATTTGAAGCTAGAACGATGAAACTTTTTTCATTCGCTTTTTTGTCAGTTGGTCAGTTTAATAAATACCTTACTAATATTACGATAGTGAAAGTAACTCTGTCTGTCTGTCTCACTTAAATGCCAAAATTACTGTACTGATTTAAATGAAGTTTAAAATCTAGATCCTGAGAAAGGACATAGGTTACTTTTTAATCCGAAAAAGGGTTATAAGAGATTGAAAGAGGAGGTTATATAGAAGTATCGTCATTTTTAAAGGTTGAAGCTTGAATCTTATTTTTTGCGTATTGATTAAATATAATTAACGAAAATGGGTTGTAAGGGTCAAAAGGTGAAATATGGTATGCAAGTATTGACATTTTTAAAGCTAGAAGCTTGAAACTTATTTTTTAGGCTGTTGAGAAAATATTAGTACCTACCTTCACAGGACTCAGCCATATGTGAAATTTTCATTTTTGGAGCTAGAACGATGAAACTTTTTTATTGGGTTAGATTATTAATACATATATTTTATTATTTGGTTAAGGTCACTATTTTACGCGGACGAAGTCGCGGGTACAGCTAGTTAAAAATATATGTAAAATAGATAACATTTATAGTTAGTCAGAAACTTCAACTTCGGTTAGATTGTCTCTAAGTGCCATTTTTTGTACCTTAAAAATAATAAATGTGAAATCATGGTACGGTACATGGTACAATATGAGATCAAGGTTATTTATGTGTATGTAAATCATGGTTCCGGATAGTAGAATAGAATGGAAAAATTATTCAAATAAACAAAATTTTAGCACTTTTGAATAGTCACTGTTATCTTTCTTAATCTACCGCTCATTTGGAAAGCTGTCTCATCACAAGAATAACGAGCAGGAAACTTGTGTGTTGCTCTTTTAAATAATCGTTCTTTACATTTTAAGTTTATAGTATGTAAATAGTACCAAGAGTTTGGCAGTAATTTATGAAAATGATTCAAGCGAAAAAGTAGATGAAATCAGTGGGTATTGAATTCCCTTCATGCGTTGTCATGTCTGGTGTGCTCAGACGTCATTACTTCGGACCCTGTCATGTAATACATACATAACCCATAAAAATATAATAAATGTATTAATCTGTAGTATAATTTAAATTACAGGTTTTGCGGGTGACCAGGGTCTACCCGGTAACGGAGGTTTACCGGGTGATCGAGGTGAAGCTGGACTAAAGGGCTACAAAGGCTTGATGGGTTATGATGGCCTGCCTGGTCGACAAGGATATGATGGACTAAAAGGCCGAGATGGAATCCCTGGTAGACCTGGTGCAGATGCTCATATACCATATGCATTCCTTACTGGTCAAAAAGGAGTGCCTGGACGAAAGTAAGAATCTAATAACTAAATGAACCTATTACTCAATCATATGCATAAAAATAAGAGTACTTAATAACAGTAACAACAACACTTACTTGAATCTGTGCCAGGATTCATGCGTAGTTCCGTGCTGGTAATATGACTGGTAAAGGGCAGAGAATTTGTTTATTACTTGATATAGAACAGAATAGTCAAATAAACTTTATATATACCTAAGCACTTTTTGATAGTCATATAATATTATTTTTTATTCTACTGCTCATTCGGAAAACAGTCACTTCACAAAAAGAACGAGATAGAAACCTGCGTGTTTCTTTTTTAAATAAATGTTGTTCAAAATTATTTAGGATTTTGAGTGAATACAACCCACATACGTACACAGTGTAAATAACCGTCATTAAAAAGAAAGAAATTCAGTTGAGTTTCGTGCCACTTTTTTCTCAATTGAATCTGTATACTGAACTGAACGGTAGGAAACAAACAATGGTACAAAAATGTGTACGTTCATAAGCGGCTAAAATGTCCTTCATAAATAAATTATTTTTGATTTAATTTGAATATTACATTTATATCAGCTGCTTTACTCCGTACCTAATAAAATCTTTGTAGAGAGATTTATAAGATATTGTTACACGGTAGAAGTGAGAAATCATCGCAAACAACATACGTCTGCTTTAATCTTTTTAGAAAATCATTTACATAAATAGATAGATGTTACTATAAATACAATACGACCAAGAACACTAAGAAGTAATGAGGGAATAGATGACCATGCATATTACTAGTCTGGCCATAAATACTGTTACATAAAAACTTTTCTTTTTACAACTTTTTAATTATTTTTAACTTAAAACACGTATATTCTTTTAAAAAACTTATTTCAATTTTGCGACATTTCACATCAAATTTCAATATGGAATGGGGTGTTAAAGAAAATAATTGCAGTGATCGCCTGCACACAAAGTGGGTAGGTATGGAACCGTCAGTCATAATCCAGACACTTCAAAAAGCTTAGTATCAGCCGTATGTTCATATATACTATGAATAGATACAACAACACTACGTCTGTCGAAGACCAAAAAGATCGTGCCGACCGCGTGCTGTTAGAACTACAGTCTATTATTGCTGTAAAACCAGAATTCGTTAGGACCTCATTAGGAAGCAAAAAATCTTATGGCGAGAAATGAAGATTCCTGCTAGGATTCCGTTGCGTATTATAAAACAAATCCTTATCGTCGATATACAGGACATGGCTCAAATCAATCTTTAATTAATTAAAGAGGGTAAGGCACAGAAATATCCTCTTTACTGATGAAAAAAATTTCTCAATTGAAGAACACTACAATAAACAAAATGATAAAGTGTACGCTCACAGTTCTAAAGAAGTTACTCAAGTGGTCGGAATGGTAGGTACAACATGGTCATCATGCTGCGTCAGTAATGGTTTGGTGGGGCATGTCTTATCAAGGAGTCACAAAACTACATTCTTGTGAAAAAGGAGTGAAAACTTCAGGCAAAGTATATCAAGATAGTCTGTAACAGTGCATTGTTGAAAACAGTGCGTAAGTCCACAGATTCGTAACCAAACAGATTAAATAAGGTTAAAGGCCTGTGTAAAAGCCAAAGGTAAAGTAGCCCTTTCGAATAGAATATTGTTTCTTTTGCTGAGACTGTAATAAATATGTAGGTATAAATTTAAATACATTACTTCATTCAAAAACATGCATTTTAATTTTTAACAGAACTTATACCAGCGAAGTACATAACCTTGCTAAGCCGTAGCCGAGAAAGAATTATACATTGCAAATTGTTCCACAAATAAAAATATCCTTACTAATAGTATAAATGCGGATATAACTCTGTGTGTCTGTTTGTTACGGTTTGATACTAAAACAACTGAACCGATTTATATGAGATATATAGAAGGTTATCGATTATTCGACCAATCAATTCATTTCTTTACTGGTACGACAGGTTCAATAGTGTGTAGTAGGATAATATTGTTTTCTTCTTAGGTTTACTTTAATTATCACATCTTCTTTTAATTATTCTTTATAAAAATAATATATAGTAAGGGCTTATTTTTGGAAAATGAAAAATAGACATTTATATAAATGAAAACAGAACCATCTATGAAAGAGTTTGAAAACATTAAAGCAAATTTGTTACTATATGTAGTTTATAAGCGCTATAAGTAGGTAATGCTTAAATGCTATCAAATTTGACAGCTTCAGTGATCTTACACACCGCCTTACTTCCGATGGTCGCGGATTCGATTACCTACTCGCACTGTACAGACACTTGAATTCATGAGTATTTTTGTTTGTATTGGTCTAGGTGTTTTCTATGTATAATATGTATAGATTTAGGAAAAAAAATCAAATACAGGTAAATACCAAACTTAGTAACATTATGGAAATTATTTTTATAGACCCATTATTTTATTTTAACATGTTTATTGGATTTTTTTTGCACAGTTTATGTAATAATTAGTAAGTAATTAGTGGTGGGTAGTGCTCAGTTTTATCTATATAGTTATATTAGGTCCTGTAGAGTATCTACGTACATACTTGGCTATTTAGTTTTTGCTTTGATTCGGGTAAGGGTCGACCGAAGACAATGTGTTTTTAAATGTTTTCAAGTTCGTCTATTGTCATTTTTCCTGCACGTGGGGCATCTCAAATCTCAGTTCGCGCCTGGGTTGTCGTTATTATCGATCAGCACACAGATCTACCGTCCCAGGGAATTTTTCTTTTTCGGACTTTTAGCGGTTTGTATTACCGCACTTGGCTTGCCTCCACTGATTTTTCAATGGTCAGGTGTCGTTTCACTTGTTAGATATATGTTCCAGCGTCATCTTGTCCCTCCGGACTGTTGCCATGTAAGTTGTGATTGTAAACAACTCAAAAATTTATTTTCTTTATAATGGTTCCTACTTATGATTCTTACTACTTTCAATGAAAATAGTTATTAGGTGTATTAAATAATAATTTTTTTGATTTGGAGAAGTTTTAATTTAATTTTAATTTTATTGCAATAATAACATTATTACAATAAAATTGCAACTTCTCCAAATAGGGACAAAAATAAAGTTTAATTTGTTCACTGACATAGCTTACTTAATATCAACATATGATTCAATTACATTGTGTTGAAAATACTTGTGTAATTTGTACTGATTTACATGTTGATGTAAATTTGTCAAATACAATTAAAATTTCCAAAACATAGCCTTTTAGTAAATTCTTATTCATGTTTTATAGAGGCGAGGCCGGCGATACCGGCGATCCGGGTATACAAGGAGAACTGGGTGATTCTTCTGCGAATTTATTATACGATAAAGGCGATATGGGTTACCCAGGACCACCAGGACAGCAAGGTAAATATAAACAATTAGAATAACTGTTTCTGAATACTTTACTTGTACTATTTTTTCCTATTCGATCACAAGTAAGTAGTATCAGTACTTAGACTTGATGTAGTATAATTTAGGTATGCCGAGATTTTGAAACCGTCCGTCCATTTTCGTTTTGTGGGTCACACATCTTCAAACAAAATAGCTAGACACAATTTTTTACTCTCAATTTTATTTTGAGTTCAATATCATCTCTACTTGATACGGCGTTTTGCGACGATGAATGATTAATGAACTTGCCTGTGATAATATTGGTCACACAAGAGAACAGAACAAAGCGTTAGGCTATCTAGGTGGGGGTAGCCATCGTTAAAATCAAAATGTATTCCTTGTTCTTCTTGTTATTGTGGTGTTGCAAAAGCTAACATTATTTTTAACGATAAACATAGTTAACTCAACGTTAACTAAGAAAAATTCATAAAAATTTCACATTTTTTGTCACAAAAGAATATAGGATGCTTATTACATTATTCTACATAATTTACTGCTATCTATGCCTCAATTAAAGTGGATATACGAGTATAAATGATTTATAGTTTAAATCAGAATTCCAATAACACCTTACAATATTTTTGTAATTTGTCATCAATTGAAACTATTATTCTGTTACAGGATTCCCCGGTAGAAAAGGTGGAAAAGGACTTAGAGGTTTAGATGGGCAACCTGGAGCCAAAGGAAAAATGGGGAACACTGGCATATCTATACCGGGCGAAAAAGGGTATAAAGGAATGTATGGAGTAAAGGGTGAAATAGGACCCTATGGAAATCCTGGTCGGCCAGGCCAGAGGGGTCCTTCTGGGGACAATGGTCCAAAAGGGAGAAAAGGATTACGTGGAGATGCTGGTCACGCTTACCTAGCAGGTGAAATGGGTATTGATGGAAGTCCTGGTAATCACGGAGATCAAGGTGAACCAGGATACCCAGGAATGTCTGGACGTGAGGGTAGTATTGGTGCAAAAGGTGAAGTAGGTCCACCCGGTGATGACGGTCAAGAAGGACCCGAAGGTCCACCGGTAAGTATTATTTTACGTTTTATTGAACTTGAATTTAACGAATAACGACTTCTGGTGTAGTATAGCAGAATAATAATATTTGTATTTATCGTTATCTGATTTATTAATTTTGATATATTATAATTAGTTACATATGTAATTAAATAGATATGTATATACATATTTATTTTGTATGGATATATAAAAGAAAATATTTACATGTATTTCCGTTATTTAGTAGGGGTGAAGTGACATGACGTTTTGAAATGGTCACTTGCATTATTTCAGTAATCTCTGAACAAATTTTGTAGAATTCTTTATTTTGAACTTGGCAAAAATATTTCTCGTACTTACATATACGAGTATTTGAAAGTTCTACGAAAGTAATGGACATTGGTATATTGAGTACCAAAGAGTAAGTTGGTGGGATTTTTTTTATAATTAATTGTAAGTTGTGGATCGAGTTTGTGCATATATTTAACCTTACAACCATACAAAACCTATAAATAAATAATGCATTAGAAGTTTTAATAAAATTAAACATTATACGTTGTACTTACAAGCCAATTTTCGACAGTACGTGTGAATTGTATACGTCAGTCTTAACCTTCTAGCAGAAAACAAGAGCCGTTCGTTCCGAGTTCGTGGCATGCAGTAGTATGCAGTGGTAATACTACAGAACGAACTCAGTTATTATTGGTTGTCAACTGTATTTATTATTTTAATGTTAGTCGATTTCGATCTTCAGCGTTCAATTTATAAATATACTTATCAGGGATATTTTTTAAACATTGTAACATCTCACATAAAATGCTATCTCTCACACTGAATGATCGTGAAAAAATGTTTCGTGTAAAGGCAGCTATTATGCCAGCTCTGTTTAGTTTGGGGCTCAGCATGATTGATTAAGGCTTGTTATTACTACGTGTATTATATTCTACGGCGTTGATCGATTTCAGAATTCTTAAAATGTTTGTTTAATGCCTAATTTGGCTAATCAAATTATTCTTATTATTATTCTTTAGGGACGCAAAGGATTTCCTGGTAATGTACAACAAGGTCCTCCTGGGCTTCCAGGACTCAAAGGAGCTCCAGGAAATAACGGACCATTTGGAGATCCGGGTCCAGATGGATCTCATGGCTACAAAGGCGATGAGGGACCTAAAGGGTTGAAAGGTGAATCTGGTCGCAACGGACTTCGAGGTCGAACGGGAGACCAAGGAATGGATGGTTGGAAAGGGTTTCCAGGTAATTTTGGTACACCGGGGATCAGTGGAGATTCAGGTGATATTGGTGATTCAGGCCGTCGTGGTGATGATGGAGATCCAGGTTTTACTGGTGTGATAGGACGTCGTGGAGTCAAAGGACAGCGTGGAGATATTGGAGTTACAGGCGAACCTGGTTTACATGGTCACCCTGGTAATAATGGATCTATGGGTGAAAGGGGTTTACCAGGCCAAAAAGGTCCTCGAGGTGAAGATTCTCTTCAAGGATTAAAAGGCGAAAAGGGAGACGACGGAAAAATAGGTTTACAAGGTATTCCAGGACGTCATGGTATACCTGGATCAAAAGGAGCTATGGGAAATCCTGGAGTACGGAGAAGAGGCGTTCCAGGGGATAAAGGTGAAAAAGGAAATCCCGGTTATATAGGAAGCAAAGGTCTTAAGGGAATAAAAGGAAAAAGAGGAGATGCTGGTTACTTTGGAGAGAAGGGTGACAATGGTGAAATAGGATATATAGGTTCTATAGGATTAATAGGAAAAACAGGATTACCTGGGTTTAGAGGTGAAAAAGGTAAAGAAGGATTACCTGGATCTGTTGGTATAAAAGGTGAAGTGGGTATGTATGGTGAACCAGGATACATGGGTATGCCTGGTCTCCCAGGAGATGTAGGCCCTGATGGTTTGAGGGGCGAAAAGAGGGGATAGTGGTCCAAAAGGAATGCCAGGCGATATAGGATTTAGTTATTCTTTCGAAGCAACTAAAGGTGATATGGGTAATATTGGATATTATGGAGCACCTGGATTTCAAGGAGATACTGGGAACCAGGATTTTCTGAAATAAAAGGTCTAAAGGGAGAGCGTGGGGACATTGGTAAAAAAGGATTGGATGGTGATATGGGGCTACAAGGAATAAAGGGACCAAAAGGCGACCAGGGACTTCCAGGAATTTCTGGCTTAAATCAATTAATATGTGATATTTGTAAACCTGGTGAACCAGGAGTTGACGGTCTACCCGGATGGGCAGGGCCTATGGGGCAAAAGGGTGCTCCTGGTGAATTTGGTATTGATGGACCTAAGGGTAAACGAGGACACCCAGGATTATCGTTTGAGGGACAGAAGGGAATTAAAGGTGTAAGAGGAAATCCTGGCAAAAAAGGTTTACCTGGACGTGTCGGCATGCCGGGTCTCCAAGGTACCCCAGGATTAAAAGGCAGTAGAGGTGATACAGGTGAACAAGGATTAGCTATAAGTCGTAAAGGCGAACAAGGTCAATTCGGAGAAAAAGGTGCCCAAGGTTTTATCGGTGATAATGGAGAAACGGGTGATTTTGGTGTTAATGGTTATAGAGGACCAACTGGATTAACTGGTCTAAAAGGATTCCCAGGCGATGAAGGCATAGAAGGAATTTCTGGAATGTCTGGCATCAAGGGTAGAAAGGGAGATCTAGGTGAGATCCTAATTCCACCACCAGGCCCTCGGGGGGATCCGGGGGATATTGGATCTATAGGTTTTCAAGGCACTTCTGGAATCCCAGGCAATCCTGGACGAAACGGCATTAACGGCAGCAAAGGAGAACGAGGTAATCCCGGTTTACCTGGTCCTATCGGATCTACTGGTTTGGAAGGGTATGAAGGCAGAAAAGGTGTGGTAGGTTTAAAAGGCTTTCAAGGGCAACGTGGTGATAGCGGGCCACCTGGTAGTCCTGCCCTACGACCTCATCCTAAATCCAGAGGTTTCTTTTTTACAGTTCATTCTCAGACGGAAATGATTCCCCAATGCCCAGATGGCACTTCTGCTCTGTGGGATGGTTTCTCGCTTATACATATTGTCGCCAATGCCAAAGCACATGGACAAGATTTAGGTAATATATCTTAATTCTTATATTTTTTAGAAGAATAAGTAGTCAAATTAGAATTATGATATTGTTTCTCAGAAAATAACCTAAAAAAAGTGCCACCCTCCTCGTTCTGTATAGCAACATAAGGTACCGTTTGTTACACTTTGTACAAAATCGTCTACGTTTCACTGTCCCATCTATTTCAACTGCCAAGCAGCTTGCTTTGCGAGATGTGTTTCGTTTGAAGGGTAAGACAAAACACCAAAATTACAGGGTACCCAGGCATAACACCTTTGTACTACGGAATGTTAACACACGAGTGTACCATTAGTTACGGACGTTATGCGATGACGTGATGTCCGCGAAGCTGTAAGAATACTTTACCACTTAGCTTCAAATTGGCTGTCAGTTGCCTTTCCAATTACATAAACAATATGCGCACGTTGTTTTTGCCGAGTCCCACTCGCAGACATCATCACGCTCGTAGATATTACTACTATAACTTGCCATAATTAAAAATATTTTGTAGTATATTAGTATCTACAGCACAGCGTGCGCATTTTTTTATGTAACTGATAACTATGCAATAGCTTAAAAACTGATACTTCCCCAGGGAAATTATCTCTCCAGTAGGAAAGAAGCGCCTTAACGAAATGTCGATTTTTCACTCAGAATATTTGAATCCATCGTGACAGCAGATATCATCGCTGCGCGTGCAAATCCGCGTAAGAGCAATTTATAAAGACCGTGTAGGCACTTGCTTTTTGATCATTTTACAGGAGGAAGGAAAAACTTAATATCTCAGCGATTTCAATTCTTATTACCGACTGAACTTACTTCTTTAAAGCTACCTTTATTGGTAAATAATGTAAATTTACTTATAGTTGACTTAGATATTGTGTAAAGTCACTTAAGTGGTTTTGTTTTAACAAATTACAAAATCTGTAGAGTTTCATTGAAGACTTCGTCCGTGTGGAATTTAACTTTATTTTTATAAAATAAAAGTAGGCTAGGTGACTCCTTATTATATCAGCTTTCTGCCAAAAAAAAATCCCGTCAAAATCGATACAACCATTTCAGAGATTAGCCGGAACAAACAGACTAACAAAAATATAATGTATTTATTATCGAAATCTGTTTACAAAAGGATGTTACATATTCATAATTTTAAATAAAGATATTCAGTGTTCATACTTATAGAAGAGATCAAAATAATGATCTAAGACAAAATAACTATTTATTATGACTTAAATATTATGCAGAGGTAGAAGATACATATCTACATACCTGATAAAGAAAAGAAAAATATTTATACAATAATAAAAAACTTGAAATAACAAAAATAAGGGGACAGACAGAGCATAAAAAGTAAGTTTTAAGCTTCTATCTTTAAAAATAGCAAAACAAAAATTGAAAGGGGAGATGAAGGGTTGTATTGAATTATCGTTATTTTAAAAGCTAAAAACTTGAAACTTGTTTCTTAGACTTTTGATTAAATATTAATAAATATTACATTGAAAGTTTGTAAAAATGTTACCCTTAAGGGAAAAATAAAATAGGACCGAAGTAAATACGCCCATTTGTTTCCAAATTCTGGCCTCCTACTATTCCGTGGTATTATTTCGATAGCACAACTGGCCTTTCTAATTGGATAATTCAAATCAGGTGAGGTCTAATACAAGGCAATAGACCTTTTGAATCGGCTGGCACGATATCTCAATTTTGCGCGTTTTGCTGTTACGCGGTATTTACAGACTGCGTTTACGCGGATGGGCACGCGAAGTGACGATATACCTACAATATACAATATACAATATAGATTTACGTCATCTTAAATTTATTATATTTATTTTTCGAGGTTAGCAATTGAGTAAATAGTTTTGTTAGTGAACGGCTAGTTATCCATATGTATTAAGAGACTATGAACATTTGCAAATATTCGGGTCTTGACAACTCTTATGATATGTTGATCATAAACTACAGTACCTACTTAGTACATAATTTTACTGCCAAATTTTACTGCTTGTACAAAATCTCTCTATCTATATAAAGAGGATGTAGTGTTTTTCGCAACGTATATAATTTTACAGGCGCTCCCGGAAGCTGTCTGCGAAAATTTTCAACAATGCCTTATATGTTTTGTAATAGAGTTCAATTTATGGATAAATGTGAATTTGCTCAAAGAGAAGATTACAGTTTTTGGTTATCAACTAATGAACCTATGCCAATGTCTATGACTCCTATACAAGCTAGAGACGTCGGGATGTACATATCTCGGTAAGAATAAATTTATGTTATTACAAAAATTACAAAATATGAAGCATCCAAAAACTTTGAAATTATACTACTTAATTACTTTAATCTGAATAATTTAGTTCGATGCTTCAGATTTTACGGTGACCGAAAAGATAATGCATCAACAATGCAAGCTTCATATGTTCCATAGCTATATGAGTTTTACTTGGAACCCAGGTCGATTATTATAGTATTAGTATTAAACTTTTATAAACATCTAAAACATAATAAAAAATAAACGGAATGCTAACGGTTTACTCTTGTATATTCTTAAGATACTTATAATTTCAAATAGTTTACCCCATAGATAATGTATACATCTTAGATTGTTTAAATTTTTTGTAAGTTTTAGATACCTTCCTATGCACCTTCTTGTATGTACAATAAATATTTCAGTTGTCAAGTTTGTGAAACGCCAACACGAGCTATTGCCATACACAGTCAAAGTACGGAGATACCAAACTGTCCTAATGGTTGGGACCAATTATGGATGGGATACAGTTTCCTTATGGTAAGACGCAGTAAAAAGTGTAAAGTATTGATAAAATACCTATATTACATATAATTAAATGTAATCATAATATAAATAATAAGTGTAAATCCTAGATCTTACATTGGCCGACTCACATTAACGAAATTAGTGGACATATGAACTTTTTTCACTCTCCTCTCATCCCCATCCTTGACTATGCCGCTGCTTATAACTTGGATGTACCAGACAATAACTCTACCATCACGCATATCTTCATAATTTTTTAGTCAACTTGGAAAAGCCTGTAATGAATGTTGTTGTAGAATTATGTTGAAATTGTCACAGGTTTGTACGTTTACTATGTATCGACGTATGTACCTATCTATTTATTATGTCTGATATCCGATATGAACTGGACCAAACCCACACTCTTTGCCTTAGGTCAAAATAACTTTACTTAAGTAGGTTGTGTGTACTAAACTAAAGAAGTTACTATAGATTTTTAACTATTTTTCTCTTTTTTTATTGGGTTGTTTGGCCTATTGTCAGGTGTATAACATATGTATATAACGATATATAACGATTCAAATCCATCCCCCTGTACATCCCAAATGGTCCTGTTAAAGCCATCTTGAATTCTTAAACATCCCGGCTCTCTAACCCAGATCCCTTAGGGGGAAGGGGATTGTTAGTAATGTGGACTAATGATCCCATTGCTAGCAATGTACCATGTCAGATCAACCTCCACGCGGGTCCCCCTGGAAACCATCGTGATACATTCCCGGTGAATTTGTCACGATGGGCTAACTGATCTGACTTCATGTTCATCTTATCATCCTCCACTGGTGCCCCGCCAGCGTAAATCGTTAGCGCAGGCGGGTGCACCATTCCATTATCATCCACTAAAAAAAACCAGCTCTCTTTCGTTACAAACTGCGACATTATGTATCGGCCTGTCCACACACATTAAAGATAGATCTATCATCTTGAAGCGGAGTTATGTACCTGTGAGTGAGTGGTATTGAACTATCGAACTATTGAGGTACCACCAGGTAAAATCCATGAAAGAAAGACAATGCGACAGGTATATATAATAGAATGGTACAAAAAGTAATATGTCATAAATGTATGATTATAAAATTTTAAAATGATGTGAAATTTAGCAAGGTGTTCGCTACACATCTCGTCTAAAAGTGAAATAAAAGGGGTTTATTTTTTCATCTTTTTCTAGCTTATATGACACATATTTTACATAATCTGTTAAAATTTCATTCCAATTCTTCCAGTTCTTTCTATGTACAAGCTTAACACACAAACTCAGTTCCCATCTCATGACGATCTTACAATTTTATAGTATAAGTGAGTCACCGTAATGCAGCTTTATATATTATAGATCATAATACTGTAGATAAAATTTGCAAATATTTTTAATAGCATTATATACTAGACACCTATTGCTGCAACTTTATTTGGTATCATTATTGTTTAATATGCATAGGTTGTTTAATTTAAGACATTTCTATTAATTCAAGACAATTCGTTAGTGTTGATTAAGCAACAGAAGAATATATGTAATTTTTACAGCATATGGCCGGTTCAGATGCAGCTGGACAAAACTTGGCGTCGCCCGGATCTTGTTTAAGGGATTTCCGTACGAGGCCCTTCATTGAATGCAATGGACTAGGGCGATGCAACTACTTTTCTACTGCCATTTCATTTTGGCTCTCAACTATCGATGACAATAGAATGTTTACAAAGCCCGAACAACAAACATTAAAAACCAATCAGGTTTCTAAAATCAGTAGGCAAGTATAATTGATCAAGTAATAACGTAATATTTTACTAGGGTAATTACGTAATTTTTGTTATGTATTTGTATGTATCTTTCTTACGGTTATTTTATGGATAGTGGCTGATTCAGTGACTGATTAGGTACGCTGTCGTTTGTCTATAAAGGACGATAGCGTGCTGATAAATTCGGATCACATATAACAGTATAAAATAATATGCACACTGGTGGCAGGAGCCAGTGATACTGGATTTAAAATTGTTTTATAAATTAAAACTATAAAAAGTATAAATACTGGACAACATTAATGATGTTCTTTTTATTTTTTTTTTATTGGACCGGAATTTTGGGGATTTTGTATAAATTTGGTCGAAAAGCCAAACATACAGATAGTAGATACCTACGTCTTAGGTATTAAATTATGTTTTAAATTTTAATATTTTCATAAACTAACTCGGGAGATACATTTCTTAATAAACATAACAGGAGGGGGGATAAGTAGCAACATTAATAGTAATTATGCACATTGTTAGTAATGATACAAATAATCCTATCTATTACTGAAAATCAACTCCCAGCGACTACTTGCAAGAGATATAGAGGATTATCAAATGTATGGAATTGTAATTTACAATATTTGGTCGGAACCTTTAACATCACCTTAATGTTTTCTTTTATACAGATGCGCAGTTTGCATGAGAAAGACACATACATCATTGAATCCGACGTACGTACGGCCAGCCTCGGTGGGATCGATACCAAACGCTATATATAAACGACCGAGATACCCAACGCGAGGACGCTTCCGAACCTACACAGGTCGAAAAAGATATATTCAAAAGAGGAAACCGTGAACAAGATTTCAAAATATATAAGTACGTACTTCGATCGAACTTTTCTAATTGCTACGGCAATATTTTTTAGTTAAAAAACATAAAAAATAAATATTATGTTTTGATAAAAAATACGATAGTTAGGTATATCATAAGTGTTATACGTTACTTTATTGCAAATGTATATACATTGAAATTAAGTTTGTAAACTACTTAACACTGCCAGTTTAATAATGAATTATATTATTATTGTTAAATTAATTTAGAGTGAATAAATGTAAAGATAAGTAGGTGAGTTAAATGACGAATGGTTTATGTAGGTATTTTATAATTATCGGTAGGTACAACGAATTATGCAGACATATATTTTCAATTTGTTCTTTCGATCTTTTTACCAATTAATATAATCTTAAAATTCATCAATAGACAAAGACTTTGTATCTCATAACAATTTTCTTAATTATTTAGTAATTATTAAGTAATAACAGAATTGGTTTATTACTATACACAACTAGTAAAAAAATGCTGTGTACCTATTTATAACTATATATATTTTCTTAAGCACCTAGGTGCTATTCATACATTACGTCATAAGTATTCATGATTTTTGACTCCTCTTGTCCTCGTTCTTGGTGATTACTCCTCCCTCTTGGTGTGACATATCATTTATTTTACAGTTTTACAATTATAAACGATTAAATTAAACAAAAATCGATAACTGTAAAAATAGATGGATATCCATTTAAAATATTTGTTCATTTAGATTTTAAAATATGACTACGAAATGATCCCTCCCACCCCTCGTACACATAGTACCAAACTTTATAGACGTAATTTATGAAAGACACCTTGGTCTAAATATTTATTCAAATGTAAGTAGGTAAGCTCTAGTCGTTACATAAGCATTGATTAAGTATCGATGCTGAATATTTATTTACTCATTATAAATGAAGAACCTAATTAGTAACTACATCTCCAACAATAAACAATATTAGTAACAATATGAAATATTTGTAAATACACAGTAAATAAAAAAAGATTATTTTTTACATTCAATATGATACTGTTTACTTATTTTATACTGGCGACTCCTTCGATTCTCATAGTCAGATGACAACAATTTATGTGATGGTGGCTTATGCGTATATTATACTTACTTTTCATATATTGTTTTGTTGCTGTTTTATAGAAATTATTATACACAGATTGTCATTGTTCTTTTATCTGCTTGTGACGGTGCTGGTGACGATCTAGCAGTTTTGGCACAATGCTGCTGGTTCGCACGGCACAAACATTTGTATTGATAAGCATGATTATATATTTATATATTCTTTATTGCACAGATAATACAAAGATATTATAATTTAGAGACAATGTG